TCAAACTGGTGTCTGCCTGCAAGAAGTGTCCACTCATTCGCAGAGGTAGGGAAAAACTGCCTATATACCCACACAATACACACACTGTGCATAATATACACCTATAGTACACACACTGTGTAAAATATACATCTTCACTTCATACACACTGCATAATATACACCAATACTATACACACTGTTTATAATATATACCTTCACTACAGACACTGTGCATAATATATACCCACACTACATACACTGGCATAAAATACACCTTCACTACACACACTGTGCATAATATACACCTTCACTATAAACAAACACTTGTATAACATCCACCATATACTGTGTATTCATTCTTTCAACATGGAAACAATCGTTACGTGTTTCTCTATCAAACCTATTTTTAGGTTCAGTTATGGATTTTGTTTTGCTTTAACTGTATAAAAGTGACTTGAAAACAGTATGAGGGGCTCTAATATTAATTCTGTACAGAGTATTTACCCTAGCCTCTGTTTACAGGGAGCTCATAATGTGAACTGGCATATTGTACCAGCTGCATGGTAAAAACTGCACACTGGATCAAGAAAGTTTGATTCTCACACGGTCATGAGAATGGACAGTAACAGCGACCACTAGAGGGCACTAACTTCAGCAGTACCCAACCACACCATGAGCTGATGTAGCGCCCCCTGGTGTTGGCTGTCATTGTGCAAGGGGATGTGCTACAAAGGACTGTATTACTGCTGTATTAATGTAGTACTACTGTATTATTGAAAGAGTGTATTCACTATCGTGTTCCAACCCGTGCAAGGAATCTTTCAGCAGGATCAAAATGATTTTAAAAATTTTGGTAAATCGATTTTAATATTTGCTCTCCCTCCCCCTCTCACAGGCGCTAACTACATCCTGATGGGCCAGGTGGATGACGAGGGGCGTGGCCTCCTTTCACCCAATAGCTTCACTCTCCTCTACAAAGCCCCACACCAGAAAATGCTGACCAATCTGAACAGCAAGCCATGCTGACCTCACTAAACCGACCAATCACGTGGCTAGAGAACGACATTACACAAAATAACACTTCCCGCTCCGGAAATATAGGCATCAAAAGCCAGACTCCTATGCAATCACAGAATTCAGTGTCATGATATTGGAACCTTTAGAAGAGAAAAAGTCTGAAGCGTGTGTTTGGTGAAATAGCCACCTCACAGTTCCTTACAGACTTTGGTCACAACGAGCACCATTTAAAGAGGGGCTCCCCAGTCCTGGCTCTGGTGACCCCAGTGCTTTCTGCCTGTATTCCAGTTGATTTCTCTTTGACTTTACTGAAACCCTTAATTGAAGTAAAAGCTTAGTAAGTGGGGTGAGGCAGACTTGACACAGCGATATGTGTTGTGGTGTAATAATAATTCATAATAATTCCTTATCTTATATAGCGCTTTTCTGGACACTCCGCTCAAAGCGCTTTACAGGTAATGGGGACTCCCCTCCACCACCACCAGTGTGCAGCCCTACCTGGATGATGCAACAGCAGCCATAGTGCACCAGTACTCTCCCCACACACCAGCTCTCAGTGGGGAGGAGAACAGAGTGATGAAGCCAGTTCAGAGAGGGGGATTATTAGGAGGCCATGACTGGTAAAGACCAGGGG